TTCAATTTCATAATAGCCATAATCTCTTATCTTCTTCTTAGTAGCAAATGTACCATAATAGGAAAATCTATGCTTGAGACCATTCCACCTTGCGTTAGGTTCGGCTCTGTATTCAGCCATTTCTCAATGTTTGACTCAGCTGCCTTTAATAAGCACTTTTGTGTTCACCTAATCTTTGGAGAATAGGCCGAAACGTCTCAATTACACAAGACTAACCACACGGCCATACAATCTTGTAGCAGCCGGATCTCTATAATGGTTTATATTTCTCTCTAAAAGATGACATAACCTAGGAATGTTTCAAGATTTATTTGAGCACTGTTTTTATCCCCTACTTTCTCATTAGTTTGCCTATCTTCTTAGAAGGAATGCACGACCAAAAAATTAGGTCATGAGAAAAGTTCTTATATCGTCCTTTATATTTTACAATTAATCTAAGAGGTACCTTCTTCTTATGCACCTCAGGAAGGCCTTTTGCATCTCTCTGGATTACTTAATTCCTTTTCCAGTTCTCCCTTTCACCATTACTTGCTCATACTTTATGTACATGTTTCGCCAATTTTTAGGTCTTTTTGCTTGATCTATGATTTAATGCATATAAGTTGAGCAATGTTGGTCATGAATAGGACAAGTTAAGTAGAAAAATGCTAATTCATTTAAATTCTACAAATATTTATATGCCTTTAATAAGCCATCCAACCGATAGAATTAAAACTAGGCTGAAGGGTGTCCTTAAGGTATGCGTAAGTAAGGTTGAAATGGAGAAGTTGAAAATGAATTAACTACTAAAGGGAGATGCAAGGGCCCGCACGGCTTACTGCCCTTTAAGGTACACAAAGCGGGGGTCCCTCTTGGAGTAATTATAAATAATAAAGCGTGGTGCATAAAATTTCACGTTTTTTATGCATACGGTTAAAGGAATCTGTTGACTTTTGACCGTGTTCAATAAAAAATTCGTATGCGTTTGCAAAATCTGTTGATCAGCATATAATTTCGGAGCAAGATAGAACAGTGAGTTTGATGTTATGTCTATTCACACAATTATTTTTATTCAAGGGACATTCAAATTCTAATGCAAGCTCTAGAGGAGCATCCAGAGATTACGGAAGAAATAAGGTTGAGTTTAGCCTCTATCCTTAGACTTAGCTTATTCATGAGTAGCACATGTTTTGCCTTTGGCAGTGAGCTTTATGAACAGACACAAGGACTTGCGATTGGATCTTGCTTAACTCCCATTGTGGTGAAAAACTACTTGGCCAAGTTTGAGGCACACTTAGTGGAAGAGGCAATACTAAGTCCTCATATTATTTCGTTGTTTCTTTCTTCTATATATTTTGTTTCTATAGTCATCTGTCTACCGATTTTCTTGGCTGGCGTCTTTTTCGTTGACTTTTTTCAGACTTCTTTTGGGAATATTCAGCTACATATGAAAGTTGTTCTGCTATACCTTCATTAGAGGTTTACATCCTGGTTTCATACCCTTCATCCGTTACTCATATGTCAAGCATAGTTTAATCTCGGCTATTTGGTCTAAATATTCTTTTTTTATGCAGTTTTTAATAATTTCTCGCTTTGCTTAGAATTATTTATATAAGAGTATCGTGCCTGTCCACATTTTGACTACACTCAATGCTACTATGCCAGAACAGTTTTACCCGTTTCTCTGACCTGAAAATATGCAGATTCTGTCTACGGCGTTGACCAATATCGATCTTCTTGGCGCCTTCAAAACCGCGTTTTATGTTGTTTTTTTCGGCCTAATTACGCCTTATTCTCCCCTGGTCATGTTGGGCTCTACTCCGCTCAATTTCATCTTCCTCTCTATACCCACTCTTTTGGCATTAATGATCATACTTACTTGGCTCATCTTTCTTGTCATTCAGAAGGGTCAACTTAGCTTATTTCCTTGGAGTGAAGCTATTCTTGGGCCTCATATCGCTTACAATCCCATCTTCCTCTCCTTTGCTATCTCGCGTTGTCTATCAAATGCACCGTCCTTGGCCGAAATTGTTTCAACTGATGACCTCAACATAGCCTCCCAGCTTTCTGCACGTCTCATAGCCATCTTCATTTGCTGGTGGTTCTGGCGTCACCTTTTGTCATTCGATTGCGATTCATTATTTTCCTACCTGGAACAAAGGTACATGCGATCCCGACCATTGTCTTTTTGCTTCTTTGGCTGCCTCTTACTAACGAATTTACATTTGCTGATCAACATGATTCCTGCCTGGCTGGCATCTGTTGGCCCGCTCTACAAACGCCACTTTGTCGCTGTCCCTGTCACCTATATTCTTCTCTTGTCCTCCGCCCTAACTGGACTGTACGGCCTAATTGTGATTTCCATCTTTACTGGGCTGTTGAACCTAGTCTTTTTGGCTCATTTGCCCACAACACTGCCTGATGCGTCTGTTCTGGAGGCAAATGGCTTAACTGAACAGCTGAACGTTCAGCTGAATATCAGCTCGCGATTCACCTTTCCCTTTTTGGGTCTCAACGTGACTGGAAGCTTTTCCGAGAATGCCGACAGAGCACCCTGCTTCGCATATTTTCCATTGACTCATTTGCCAGAGTATCTGATTCAGTACCTCCTAGCCGATCCTATATACTACATATTGCTACATGCTCTGCAATCAGCCCAGACGAGCTTTGACGGACGACAGTTCTCTGTTAAGCAGACGCGCCAACCAGCGACCCCTAGCCACATTACAGAGACTGAGGCCATGGCTGACCGAGGGGCCAATTTGTCTGTCTGGCGACCTGCAAGTGTGCTCAGTCTAGCAATCTTAATCCATCTGATAGAATGGATTTTAGCTTGGGTTGCTGGGATTAAGATCCGCAGTCTGCTGGCCGCCACTCAAGTTCCGGTGCCCTATTGGCTGTCGGCCACCACTCTCGTGCGCAGATCTCTATCACCTGTCGGTACCTCGTCTTCTGACCACCGCAACCAACTGTCGGAAGCCCCATCAGATGATTGGGTGTCGACTGATCTGGATTTTATGGCTTGGTTACAAGCTCAAATCTGCCTTATGCAGCCGTTACTTTTGCTGATCAGCCTGCGTATTCATCTGTTATCCCGTCATTTGGTCAACGAGCTTCTACCCTCCTGGTTTTTGCTAGGACTGATCGACTCCACTCCGATTGAACCACTGAACCCTGGCCTCCAGAAGGCTTCTTTTACATTCACTGGCTCAAATGCTACAAACGGTGGACTTCACACAGTAGCTGAGCCTACTTCGCATCCGGCTAGAATTTCCTTCCTGCAGATCCTTGTTAGCATAGGTTTATTGATTCCGGTACATCTTTTGCTACTCATACTTCTTCCTCCTTGGCTCATTGACTCATGGATGACCCCACATTATAGCTTCTCTGCGGCATCTCTTTTTAATAATTCCACCATCAATAATTCTTGTATTGATAACCAGTTTGGAGCTAAACTCCCATCCTTCCTAGAGACTTTGCTTCGGCTAGCGCCCTCATTTTTTATAATGCAACCTGGGTGCTTAATTAATTCATTTAAGCGCTGCCCCTGCATTCTTGCCGCAAGCGTGGGTCTTATTTTACTTGGCCCCTTGATTTCGCAACGTCGGTTATGGTTTATTCCTGCCTTACTGGCCTGGCTCCTTAGCTCCTTCATCTGCCTGGCTATTGCGGCTTTACATTTAAGGCTTAATCAGATCGAAGCGACCGGTGTCTCTTCTCTTACCTCGATTGCGACTTCCACTTTGAACGATGATCTTGATCCGAGCTTCTCTTCCATAAGTTCAAGCAATTCCACCACCGGAAAACCTTGCATTGCCTTTGATAACGTTGCTGAAGGGCTTGCTGGCCTCAGCTCTGAACCAATCTCTACATGCTTAATCAAATCACCTCCTAGTTTCTTTATCTCGATAAACCAACTTGAAGCTTTGCTAGGATATAATTCGATGCCTCTCATTTCTTGCGTCGAGGTTTGGTTGTCTGTTTTCATTTTACTAGTCTTTATCGCTAGTACCTGTATCTTCGGTTTTATCCTCAAGCAACCCAACGCTTATTCACCACAGTCAATTACTGACTCTACAGCGAATACTATTCTCTTGCGTAAATCCTGCTCTTTTTCCAAACAAACAACAAAATGCTGTACTAATTTTAATTTTTGTCGCATAAAGACCAAACGGTTAGTTTCAGCTGAATAAGATAATCTTTTGAGTT